TTAATTAGAGTAGTAATGTTGACGTATTTGAGTTTATTCGATTTAGTATTTAACCATTGTAATGAATAGAGTTAGAGGTAACTCTATTTCTTTTGCGAACCCGACTTTTAGTCTGGTTTTGTCGAGCAAAATCCTGCAAAATGAATGTTAATAAAGAAAACCTTAATAAAGATAATTTGAATAAAGAAAAACAAGTACAAAATGTTGATGATAAAATTCCTGATGAACGTGCCGCCTCGTTTAGTAGTGATTGTGAGGTGGTACAAAGAGGTGCACAGGCTAATTTTGAAGCCAATTTTGGACGTATGTCGGTGGATGTTTTAAGGTTTTTGTGTCACGAGTTGGGGATTTCTGAAGCAGGTTCAAAGCAGGATTTGGTAAATCGTTTGGTTAGTGAGAGTAAGAGAAGGGAAGGTTCTGCAGAGGCTAATGTTGATAAGGGCAAGGTGCCGTTTGCTGGTGAGGGTACGACTGCGGCTATGTTTGGTAGTGCTGGTGCTTCGTTTTTTGAGCCAGGAGCTGGTGCAGCTAGTAATCCGTTTGAGGCTAGACCTGATGAAAGAGCGTTTGGGTCTAATACGTTAGGCATTGACCAGTCTCAGCAGGCTTATTGGTCTCCTAATAAGGTTTCAGGGTCTCTTGAGGTGAATGAGAGCGTTTGGAAGAGACGTGATCTTTCGAAAGCTAGAAACCAGTGGGAGTATAATGAATGGTGCAAAGCTGGTTCGCTTCTGGATAAGGCCTTATTGTCAGGGGATGTAGAATTTGTTCATTTGGCTAGGAAGGTCGCACTTGAGAGAGCATATGTAGTTACAGTTGCTGACGAAGATGGTTGGAATGTGGCAGCAAAGATGGCCTCGGGCGACGATGATCCTATGGCTGAGTTATTTGGCGGTAGACGGGAAAAAGCCAGACTGGCTGCTCAACGTTTTTCATTTACTAAAAATAAGAGACCTAGAGTGGCGCAAGACCAGGGTTTCAGCAGGAATGAGCCTCAGGATAAGCATAAAGTACAGGTTCCGTTTTTTCAAGGAGTTCAGCCCGTCTTACCTACTTTGGTTCAGCCTCAACCGTATGTACAACCGATGTGGCATCAATCTCCTTTCCAGTCTATGAGTTCTGGCCCTGTCGGCTTTGGAGGTCAGTGGAATGGGTCTGGCTCTCCTTCTTGGAATAATCCGAATTTTTCAGACCAACAAGTTCCTTTGGAGAGCTTGTCTCGTAATTCAGTTCATAGTTCGCAGTCACAGCCTAATCTCGCAAAGTTTCAGTCTTCGGCTAGTTTTTCTAGTGGTAATGGTAAAATTGGGTCTAGAGATGTAGTATGTTTTTTATGTGAAGGTAAAGGGCATTATGCCAACGAGTGTGGCTCAAGGAAGCACTTGAACATGCCCTTTCGTGGGGATGGTTCAAAACCGAAGAGAAGTTGACTACGCTCGGGATGTGGAAATGGAAAGGAATACCATTCAAGTGAGCGATTGTCACGTGGCAGGAAGGTTGCATTCGGCTTCAGCAGTTCAGTATTGGAAACAGGTTATAAAGCCAGCCCCGATTGTATTGGGTTGGCTAGAAAGAAGGATTTCTTTATTTCCGAAGGGGGTTATGGAGTTGATAGGACAACGGGTGCCGAAATTAAGACGATTTACGATGGACGAAAACTTGTGGTTAGAACAGGAGTTGAATCGTTTGAGCGAATCAGGGGCAATAGGTTATTTAGGAGAGAGCCATGTCAGGCCGGAGTTCTTGTTGGAAGTAAGCCCGGTTTTTCTTGTTCCAAAGCAAGGAAAGAAGAAGTTCAGGTTGGTGATAGATCTCAGGAGGCTAAATATGACTCTTCCAAAGAAGTCTTTCAAGTTCGAAGGTTTGGGGTCTCTGTTACGGACTGTGGGAAAGGCTTGGTGGGTCATAACTTTCGACTTGAAGGAGGGTTACCATCACGTGATGATGGACGACGTAGCGCAAAGGTTCCTTGGCTTTGTCGTAAACAAGAAGTGGTACTTTTACAAGGTTCTTCCCTTTGGCCTGAGTCAATCACCTTGGATTTTTGCGAAAATAATGAAAGCTATGGTCGGAAGTTGGAGAGCTCGAGGAATATTTTGTGGGAATTATCTGGACGATGTGTGGATAGCGCATCCGTCGAAGGAGATTCTTTTAAAACAACGGAAGGAGGTTATAGAAACGGACTTGAGGGGTTGTGGTTGGATTCGTGCAGAAGAGAAGGGCGATTGGGAGCCGACTCAGAACCCCAAATATTGTGGCCTAGTTATCGACTTGAAGAAGGGTTTGGTAATCGCTCCAGAAGAGAAGATTATCGCGGTGATAGGTTGGCTGGAGAGTGTGCTGGAAAAACCGTGTGTTACAGTAAGGGAATTAGCTTCAATGGCAGGAAAAATTCAGAGCTTATCAAGAGCGTTCGCGCCTGCAAAAGTCAAGAGTTTGGAGTTTTACAAGTTGATAGACGTGAAGAATCGTCTCTGGAGCGAATGGGACGAGACGATCAGGTTATCCCCGCAAGCAATAGAAGACATGGAGTGGTTGTTACAAAACTTGAGAGCTTGGAACGGTCGCCCTGCTTGGAAACCTTCGAAGGTGAAGGTAATTTACGTCGATGCTTCATTAACAGGCTGGTGTGGGGTGTTCGACGGAAGTATAGCGAAAGGGTGTTGGCCTCACAGGCTATCGGCAAACTTAATAGCGCAATTGGAATCAATTGCTGTTCTACGGGTTCTTCAGGCGTTTGGAAACCTTTTGGCCGGTTCGTATGTGACGTTAATGATAGACAACAAGGTGGCGTTGAAAACGGTTTTAGGGGGAGGCCCACTGGATTGGCAAAAGGATATTGTGCGCGAAGTGTGGAAGCTGTGTTTAGAGAAAGATGTAGAGATTTTTCAAACATTGTGGGTTCCCAGCGAAAGGAATTTAGCCGATGCGTTTTCCAGGGTAAGAGACTTTGGGGACTGGGCTATCAAGACGGAAATAGTAAGAGATTTGGAAGCTCGTTGGGGGAAGTTCGACGTGGACAGATTTGCAGACCATTTAAATTCGAAGTTGGAAAGGTTCAACAGTCTGCATTTTTGTCCAGGTTCAGAAGCAGTCGATTGCTTCACTCAAGACTGGAACGGCATGATAAACTACTTGTGCCCACCATTCGCGATGATTCATCGGGCATTAGTTCATGCAAGGGAGTGCAGAGCACTCATAGTGATCATCATTCCGAGATGGGTGGCGGCCCCATGGTGGCCAATTGTGGTGAACGTCCAGAAAGAAGAGGTGGATCTTCCTCCTCCATTAGAGATTATCGTGCTGGGCCCTTCAGGTTATCTGGAACCATGCAACAATCGGAATTGGCGTTTAAAAGCGATTCGTATAGACTGGCGCACAAATTTCTAGAGCGAGCAGAATTTTTAGTGGAGAATGCGATTAGTGAATCGTATAGGAGAAGGTTAAAGAAGGCGTGGTTGGTCTTTGAGGAGTTTACGAGTAAAATGCAATGTGATTCTTGCCCATCCTCTTACACGACGATATTGGCATTCGTTGCTTGGATGGAAATGGCAGGTCGTAGTTCAGAGATAGGAGGGTGCTTAACAGCGATTTCTAGATTGCATAGGTTGAGGGGCTTGACAGACCCAACTAAAAACAGTGCGGTTCAGTGTTTGGTTAGTAGTGTGAAAAAATGGGTGGCACGGGATGCAGAGGCGGAGTGGCCTAGAGATCCATTACCAGTTGATGCTGTAAAGCATTATTTAGCCTTTCCTCCTGAAGGAGTTTCTTATGAATTCTGGGTTAGGGATCTTGCGTTAGTGGCTTTAGGATTAAGAACGATGAGACGTCCAGGTGAGCTTTGTTGTTTGAGAATGAAGGACTTGAAGTGGGTCGATAATTTGTTGTGGGTCCGCATTAATAAGTCTAAAACGGACCAGCTTGCAAGAGGGAAGTTTATTCCTGTAGAAAGGTCAAACAGTAAATGCTGTCCAGTAAGATTGGTGGAAGAATACATTAAGATTAGGCCGGTTTCAGATGAGGACGCTCCTCTTTTTTTGTCGAAGTCGGGGCATGGTTTGTCTGTTTCGGCAGTTTCGGCTATTGTTAGAAGAATAGCCAGTCATGCTAAGATTAGAGGAAGGTTTACGGCTCATAGTTTGAGGATTGGTGGTGCGACAGCGGCAATGAGAGGGGGTCTTTCGATTGAACAGATCCAGTCTATTGGTGGCTGGGTCTCTGACGCTGCTAGGTTGTATATTAGAGCAGTAGGTACAGCGAATTTAGGTGCATCTGGTATTATGGGTTTTTAGCTGGTAAGAATACGGTCAGTTTGTTGGTAAAAAATAAAGAGAGAGAGTAAAAGAGGGGAAAAGAATATAGGGAATTAAGAGCGATAACGATTGAAAATGAAATACAGATTACTCGAATCATAAGACGATGCTCTGCAAATACCCGTATGTGTTTAGTCGTTTATAACAAGCGTATGAGAGACAAAACAATATAGCTGCTCGATACGATGGTATCGAGGCAGCTTTTGTCTCGAATCAGCCCGTAACTAGGCATGTGACATGCCCTATTACAGTCACATGAATGACGTGGCTTAGTATTTTGTTCATATGAGTAATAAATTAGACTTCCAAAATTATGTGGTAATAATGGCGATTAGTTTTGATCA